TCGAAGGGTTTTTTGCAGCTTGTAAACAAGAAGAGCAGTTTCGGCATTTGTTTTCGATATCTTTATCCATCGAAGGCCAGTAGGCGTAACTGCGCGCCAATGACTTCATCTTGTTTATCCCAGGGTGACCACTGTGAAATTGCTTGAGGATTTTATGTCGCAATAATTCTGGGATAATAATCCGGTCACCAAACATAATGCATGAATCCACAATCATGAGTGAATCGCGCCGGCGGAAATATTGTTGCAGTTCTCCTTGTAAACAACGATTCGGCCACTTTGAGAGGAGATAACCCTTAACTTCTTGTAGTATTTTGTCATTTCTTGTAGCTTCTTTAATAGCTTCGAATGTAACCGGTAGACCATCTACTGCGTCTTCCAAAACTCGATGTACTTCTGTCTCAATCGCTGCCACCAAAGTATCTTCTTCGTGATTCGCTTGGGAACCAATCAGCCTAGACAAAGCATCAGCTTGTCCGAAAACAGTAGTAGGTTGGTATTTAATTTTGAAGTCGTAACCCAATAATGTTGTTTCCCATCGTTGCAGTCTGTTTGCAGTATAGACTGGGATTCCTTTCTTTGACCCAAATATGGCTAGCAGCGGTTTGTGGTCCGTTAAAAGCGTGAACAGGCGTCCAAATATCATCTTATGAAATTTTCTTACCGCAAAAATAATTGACAATGCTTCCTTTTCGATCTGACTATAGTTACGTTCTGTTGTAGTTAAAGACCTTGCTGCATGCGAGATTGCTTTCTCTGATCCATCAGGCATGATATGCGAAAGGCTTGCTCCGATGCCTTAGTTTGAAGCATCTGATGCCACTACAATAGGTAGGGATGGGTCATAATGTGTCAACGACAAATCCGATAGTAGCAGTTTCTTGATCTTCTCCCGTCCTTATCAATGATAAAACCGAGGTAGCGTACACTCTGCATGCAAAAGTCACATTTTTCTTCACGAAGTCGAAATCCATATTCAGCTATTCTCGATAGCACCCGGTCGAGCTTCTTTTCTAGGTGTATTCTGTCAATGCCCATAATTATTATGTCATCCAGATAAGCTACAACAGAACGTAACTATAGTCAGATCGAAAAGGAAGCATTGTCAATTATTTTTGCGGTAAGAAAATTTCATAAGATGATATTTGGACGCCTGTTCACGCTTTTAACGGACCACAAACCGCTGCTAGCCATATTTGGGTCAAAGAAAGGAATCCCAGTCTATACTGCAAACAGACTGCAACGATGGGAAACAACATTATTGGGTTACGACTTCAAAATTAAATACCAACCTACTACTGTTTTCGGACAAGCTGATGCTTTGTCTAGGCTGATTGGTTCCCAAGCGAATCACGAAGAAGATACTTTGGTGGCAGTGATTGAGACAGAAGTACATCGAGTTTTGGAAGACGCAGTAGATGGTCTACCGGTTACATTCGAAGCTATTAAAGAAGCTACAAGAAATGACAAAACACTACAAGAAGTTAAGGGTTATCTCCTCTCAAAGTGGCCGAATCGTTGTTTACAAGGAGAACTGCAACAATATTTCCGCCGGCGCGATTCACTCATGATTGTGGATTCATGCATTATGTTTGGTGACCGGATTATTATCCCAGAATTATTGCGACATAAAATCCTCAAGCAATTTCACAGTGGTCACCCTGGGATAAACAAGATGAAGTCATTGGCGCGCAGTTACGCCTACTGGCCTTCGATGGATAAAGATATCGAAAACAAATGCCGAAACTGCTCTTCTTGTTTACAAGCTGCAAAAAACCCTTCGAAATGTGAACCTCAACCATGGCAAAAACCTACTGGACCTTGGGAGAGAATTCATGCAGATTTTGCTGGTCCAATCCATGGAAAAATATTTCTAATTATCGTAGATGCATTTACTAAGTGGCCAGAAGTATATACCATGCCAAATTGTACAACGTCAGAAACAATCCACAAGTTGTCTACCTTATTTAGCTGCTTCGGAGTTCCAGAGATCGTAGTAACTGATAATGGCTCGCAATTCATTGCAGAATCGTTTAAGTATTTCTGTAGCGCAAATGGAATAACTCATCTTCGTTCTCCGCCCTATCATCCGCAATCGAACGGACAAGCAGAACGCTTTGTGGACACCTTTAAACGAGCACTACTGAAAGAGGGAGGCGAAGGGACAACTGGACAGGTAATCACAAAATTTTTGACAACCTACAGAACCACTCCGAACCCAAATGTTCCAGACGGTAAGTCTCCTGCCGAAGCCATGTTTGGAAGGCGTATTCGAACCGTTTTCAACGCCATGTTTCCATCGAAATTAGTGTACGGGCACAATCAAAATCCAAATATGCGGAACTTTAATGTCGGCGACGAAGTTTTCATTAAATCCTACACCGGAAAGAACCGATGGGAGCCGGGAAAAATTGTACATAAATTGGGAAAAGTTCTGTACAGAGTCCGAGGTACTTTTGGAACATGTATACGATATACGAATCAAATCCATAAGGACAAAAGAACGATGCAGACTCGAAATAATCGGCCAAATTTCCCGTTAGAGTTAATCTTGGACGTACCGACGATACATATGCCCAAGGACACTGAAGGGAAGCGTCGGATAAGGAAGACGACAAGAATAATGAGACGCCAGCGCAACCCAGTTGTCAAGCTACAAATAGATCCTAGGAAGAAATCTTATTCGGAGGAGGTGTTGGAATGGCCACCGAGAAGCCACCCACGTACATAGTCGAGTGACTAAGTCATCGATTAACTTATCGATCAGATGTTAAGTATTTAAATAGTAGTTTATTGATTAACTTATTGATGAATGTTTAAGAATTTTTAATGACAATATTGATTATGTATATAATTTTGTATAAATACGCATGTTTGATTGTATATTTTGATTTTTGTCAATAAGTGCTCACGTCTTCTTACTTGCGAGCTGTTGGAGGTTATAACGTTCGAGTGTCATCCGTTATAGAGTCTTTTCGTGCGTATTCGAGTAGAGAACTTAACACATAACTAAACTGTGCATATTCACGAGAAACATGAATGCATAATTCGGAATTAACGAAATGTGGGGTGATTATGTAAAATACAAGACAAAAAGTACTAGTTTGGGATTTTAGATTATTGTGAAATAAAGCAGAAAACAGGAAAAAGTTGACAAGTAACAGGAAAAGAAAGACATGCAAATATAAATTTGATTAAAGTGAATTATATTACTCTTTTACATCTGTTCCTAAGCATAAATTAAGTGTATACTTTAAGTAGGAAACTGCGAACTATATATACTCACAGGAACGAGTAGAACTCATCACAAGTACAAAAAGCAGTACATAAAAATAAGTACTGAGTCGTTTAGGATGATGATATATAACAAAAACTTCCAAATTTTGTTTACATATTGTAAATGTGTATAAGTTGAATTCATTTTAAAATCTCATTCCATTCGACTGATGACGTGGTTTCCCATAGGTGAATGGTAAATAACGGTATTTGATCATATGCTAATAAGTACAGAATTTGAAAAATATGGAAGGAAATGGAAAATATTTTAGAAATGAATGATGAATAGTTGAGTTTTTATCGAATCCATTTTTTATGCAACAACTTTTGTTTAAATTGACAACAGATTATGAAGTGTGACATAAATATCATCCTCTCCCACTGTGACATGTCAATACTCTCGACATACTTTATTTCTTTTAATAAGCTACACACAATTGTACAAATAATTATTTGGTAATTCTGATACAAACTAACAATGCTCAGTTGACCGTTGGTTCACCAAATTATGAGCTCGATTGAATAGATGATTACCGTTTCGAATTTAGCTTTACGTATCAAGATTTGTAAAAACGAGTGCTTTCAAAAACTATTGCCGGCGAGACTATAATTTATGGAAAGCCTTTGAACGAATCTCAAGTGACCCTGGGAGATTCCAACCAGTGAGAAAGCAGTCGGTGTAGAGTAGGAATATATTGTACGAAACTAAAGAATTAGAACGGATACACTTCCTTAACATAGTTTAAAAACATTTGAAGGTTAGAAAAAGGCTCTGCTATTCATAAGTCATAATGCATACGATCCATGAACTCATTCATGTGACTTCACAATAGTCGACATCTGAAGCCATGATAAGGTCGCGAAAATTCTTTTAGCCTCGACCACATTGCTTCTATATTATTGGTGTGTACTACGGTGGTAGTCTACAAAACGTCGCTTGTGAACGACTATACGATTCACGCAACTGCACAATTGTAGCTTGTCGGTTTCTCACGCACTGGATGTATCCTTTTTCAGATGATCTAACATATATACCAAGGACCGGTTAAGCATATTTAAGGAAGTGCTACTTACCCAGTCTTCTTTGACACTTTTATCTCTGTTAAATTTGTGTTTCCCAACGACTGTCATCAATTTCATTGCACATATATTTCGACAGTACTCATACTACCGAAGCTTCAGTAATATCTGTGAAGGTTGCAGCTAGTGTCACTGGTGCTTTTTTATCCGGTTTGCAAAAATTATCAAATTCTTAGTGTCAATCGGGGTAGAGCAAAAAATGTATCCGTTCCAGAAAACCTTGGCTTCCAACACATATTACATCGAAATACAACATCGCCACGATAGTCTGCATGATGTCTAGCAGTTATTTGAACGACGCAATAGCAAATAAAGGAGCTTCTCAGTAGTCCCAACTGTTGTACCTACTCAACTAAGAAAACTTGGATATTGAAACAGGCACCATAACCTTGGAATCGATTACTCGCTTCTGACCATCACGTCTATAAATAGTGGTCTCGCCACACAAACAACGGTAGTTCGGTCATGGAAATGGTTACTGACCGCAGTTTTACTTTAGGCATTACTATTTGTCAACATATGGCTTAGGCAAAATGCAACTGGTGAAAAATCCTCAGCAACTAACAAAAACTACGATGAGAACACTCGAGTACAATAAGTTAACAAATCCCATAAACAAAATAGTTGGAAATTATGGAACATACCGATATTTGACGCTTCATAGTCACGTAAAACAGCAAGACAAAGTACATAACTAAGATCGGCCAAAACACAGGTACATCGAGAAAGCTCAAAAATGTACAGAATATAGATATGAATAGACATATGGTACATGAGTTCCTGTTAAACTATAGTCAACGAGAATATCATCATACCAAAACTTTAGTTCAGGTAGTTTTCTTAAAAAAGGTCTAAACTCTTCTGAAGACTTGGTTGGGAGCACTTCATCTAAGATAGAAATTCTTAAAAAAAAATACACACAGCTACCAGTGGAAGTTTCAGGTACAATTTTGGGCGAAAGAAAGTCAATTAGTCTGTTAAGAAGAAATATTCCCATCACATAAGTAACTACGTGATAACCCTGAAAAAATAAAATGAAGAGCAAAGTATTACAAAACCTGTGTGATGATAACACGTAATATATAGAAGAAGATGAGAAAAACAGTAAAGCACCATCTTCCGACTGCATATGGGGTCAATACATCGTACAAATGTTGTATCTTCTATTGTCTCTCGTAAAAACAAAGAAATAATACTAACCACTTCACAGAAACGAAGGAATTCTGGTTTTGACGAAGAACTTGGAACTTCTTGTGTATAATAATCCATTGCCAGATAAGCTTTGTCTTCAGCGCTGTGACCCTGATGAACAAGGTCGAGCTTCAGTACAGAAATCAAGAAACTTTTTTGAAAAACGTCAGTGTTCATTCCCTAATATTTAAGCATTTTGTCATGAAACATCGAACGAAATGTTCCATTGGAGTGTTTTTAGGTGGCATGATTTATTTTATGTGCGTGCAATACCTGAGATATCACTTGACTTTGATTTGGACTTCTCAGACTCATTATGTATACATAAGCATATAACATACATTTTTTAATTCAAAGAATCTAACCTAAGTTTGGCTTTGGCTGATCGCTCTTTTTTGAGTTTCATTTGAATTAAGAGTCAACCGAATTTTTGTTATTCCGTGTTCAGTATTTCAGAGATAATATGCTATCTTTAATATTTTTTAAGTAATTGCGACACGCGACTTTAGATATTTTGTTTATTCCAAATGACGTTTCATAGCCATGTACTGTCATTATCCTATTTCACTTGGCAATTTTATCCCTAGTTTATAACTCGTCACGGTCATTAAATCACATATAAATTATTCATTTCGCTCCTGAAGTTGTCACAGGCACACAGTTTGACAACACCTTAACTAATAGCACCACTACTGTTGAAGTATACCAACCCAGTCAAATCAAGGGTCATAAATTAAGGAGTTCGAAGATATATTTGGAAGGCTTTCGTTATGTCAAGCTGACTGGCGGTTGCAAGGTATGCGTAGCTTGGTGTAGTCACGTGTGAACTAGTGAGGATGCATGACCGAGTGCCTTTAACCAAAGTGTATTCAGTAAAACTAATGAAGTCAGCACCAAATGTCAAAGACATACATAACCATTGATTTTGGGGATTTATTTACCAATACATATACTTATTCGAAACTCTTGATTATATCTTAATGATGGCATGATAATTAGGTCGACATGTAAATCATTACTATTACACCATTCTGGTGTGAATCGTTGGGGAAGGTGAAATGTTATGTAGATTATAACAGATTCAATCAATAGTGTACCTAACACTAAGTTAGGAAAGTACGATCCTTTTTTCCACTTTCGTGCGACAACATATTTACTCATCCGCCTAACTGGCTGTCTTAACTACAAAAATGAAATAAATCTAATGGGATATGAAAAAATTGATAGTCGTTCTTAAAAAACAATAGTCAGTCCAATGAAATGGAAGAATAGTGGTATAGTTGCGTAATCATTGCTATTACACAATTCTGGTAACTACCCAGCTTTTGGGAGTCACATTTATTGGGACTTCAAGATATACCGAAAATTTAGAGTATGATGTGCGAATCCGATAGGAGATTCTAGGTTATAACATATCACTGGTACAACTCTAGAATCTTTAAAATAGTATTATTAGAATTAGTCTGGGATGATGGAATGCTGCGACAAAAATGTTGTGACGAATGAGAGAGGTCATCTGTTAACGGACCTTCGATGAGGGCCTGTCTAAGTCTCCGCAACAGGTACTGGTAGGGTTGGTCTCATTTCAGAACAGCACTGTAGACGAATTGAATGTATCTGACGACCAAATTTCGGAGATCACCAGAACCGCCAACACCTTGGGCTATTTAGTCAAAGAAAAGTTCCAAACGACACGAAATTACATTACGAACCTCCGTCATACTCTGATATGTCACCTTAGTATTCGTCATGACCGTAGACACTCCCGAACTCTTAGACGGGATACTTCATGAAAATGATCAGTCTCTAAATCAGGAGAGGCAGACAACCCAGACTGGTGCTGGTATCACAACCAGTACGGAAAATCTCTAAATTGCAGAAAACCCAGAATTTTCTTAGCTTCCAGCCTACTGACACCAAAAACATTTCAGGAAATTTCCCAGCCGGCACGCGTTGTTGATAAACGTAACCGGCAAACATAGCCGTATGTTATGCATCACTGATGTGATAACGAAAGATAGCTACATCGTCGATACTGGTGCAGAAGTTGGTTCTCTTCCACCAAGTTATAACAACCGACTGCTTGGAGCAGCTTTCAACCTATGCGAAACCAATCGCCACGTATGGTAAGTAGTATGTGTACTTTAACGTGGGTTTACGCAAATCTATTCACCGGATCTTCGTTGGTTCAGATGTTTCTCTACCAATAGTTGATATAGACCTGCTGCAACTTCCTAATCTATTCATCGACAAGCGCAAACGGAGGTTGGTAGACGGAAATACCAATTTATCTGTTTGTATAACTTCTTTTTTCAGCTGTAGATTGTCCCCACTCACAGCAACACACACGATTGATCTATACTATAAACAACTATTCGATAAGTACCCTGAGATATATCAACCAACAATGTAACAAATTACATCGCGACTACAGGACCACCTGTACTCTTGAAAACGCGCCGACTAGCTGCCAAAAAGCTGAGGCTGGCTACAAATGAATTCGGTCACGTGATAGACTTAGGTATCATTCGGCAACAGAACAGCCCATGGGCATTTTCTTCCACATTGTCTCTGAAAATGGCAGCAATGTTTGGCGTCCAACCGGTGATCATCTGCGACCGAATGCGAAAAGCATTTACGATTTGACAAATACCTTTAAATGTGTAGAATTATGGTTTAAGTTTGCTATTAGAACTGATATAAAAATAGATCTAATCCTAAAATTATAGATTTAACATGAAGTGACAACCTAATCTATAAGATCTTTCGTGGAATTCACATTTTCCACACTGACTTATTGTATCGTGACAATCATTGACATGATACTGTAGCGGTAAATTAATCCTAAAAATAAATAGCTCTGTAAGTTGTCGACATTAGATACTGACCACAGTTTTAGTGGACTCATCTAGCTGAAGGCGCTCGGTCAAGCATCCGCACCAGATCACGTGTGGGAACGCCGTGCTCAACATCTGCCGCAATCGCTAGCCAGATTAGTCCAAACGATCCTCGATATATTGATAGCCTATCAAATATATCTTCGAACCTCCTCGTTTCTGTCTTTTGATTTCACTTGGTGGGTACGCTTCATATTAGATGGTGTTACTGGTTAAAGCGTTGTCAAACTCTGAATACTTGTGGCATCTTCAATACTTAGTACTTCTGAGAAACACCTTTAGGCTAAATACAGAATAATGAATTTAAATTGAATAAAGATAGGATATACAGAATGACCACGTCAGTAAGGCTGAGTTATGTCATCCGATTGAATTGAATGAATATTCCCGCGTTCATCATTGTTGGCTTTCTCTCCATGTTAAATGTTGATATCTATTTTCCCAGTTATCTCATATTCAGCTTCAAGGATTGTGTAGTTAGGACCAAAATCACTGCACTACTCTCCCACTAGAATGAACGTGACATTAGTTTGGTACCATATCGAGTGAGATTGCTGCGCGCCGGAGGTTACCAAAAGATCAGTAAAAAATCCTTCGGGTATTGATAAGGTGAAAGGTAAATCAAAAAGAATGAAGCCGCCAATGATCGAGAGATACATGTATTAATTTTAGAATGTTCGGTTTAATTCTTAACATGCATAAAATGGAAATTTAGGTGATTATTTAAGCGTTAAACAAAGTGGGATTATAATAATTCAAAATAATTTATCATAAAGATATTTTAATAAGTCACGTTAAGATGCATAGTAATCACCGTTAAATAACAGAGTAACTTTTGGCAGTATACGTATATTATGCCAAAAAATAAAAAACAAACAACTACTAATACATATGAATGGTTTTAAAAATTCATCTAATACATGAAATTTGTAACAATTATGAGAATTCCGGACAGATGACTAATAGTAATTCGTTAGATATGAGTGGATCCATGAGAAACATGCTTTAGACTAAATGTTTTAGTACATAATAAACCAATTATTTATATGCATATTTATCGGCTGATAGTACCTACAAGTTAGTTGCAATTCTGGAGTTTAGCATAAGGTAGAAAATAATTTATTCAAAATATAGTGATTGAAAATTATTGAAATCAGCAAAGTTTATGTGCCACAAACATAGGTGATGTAGTGTTGCACAATGCTTCCTGCTAAATAAATTTTTACAATGTGATAAACAGTGAATGATGCTTGTGTGATTATCAGGGAGAATATAAGTTGTAAATATGGGGAATACAACTCCCAACTCATATCTGTGATATGGGCTTGAACTTTAGTCAGTGTTGGGGTAAATTCGTCAGTGATTTTTCAGTTTGCAGGAGATTTACTCGACTGCTTATACTGATGATTTGCATGCACGGTTGTGTCGCTAAACATCCAATTAAACTGACGAGGTTTTAAGATGTTTACTGAATGAGAATCCGACAGAGAAACACACTAACCACGTGTAGTGGATGAAGATAACGGGAAAACAACACTATTTAATGATAATTACAAGTCAACTTGTTGCCCGATTTTTTTAATATTTTCATCAATTTTATCAATTATATTATGTGATTGTCAAGACATGATAGTGTTTTATGACGGTATCCTGAAACCATTATGAATAACTAGTCGTAGTGTTGATTGAGGATTAGCCAGTGAAAAATAGGTATTGTTGTTTTAAGTGGTTCTGAAATAGCAGAAGCTTGTAGCACTAATGGATCCAAGCTGCCTGATTATATCACAATTTTCGATCCAGAAATATGTGTTCACTAAGTTTCGATTTTAATAGTAGGCTCCGGTGTTTATTTCGAATGCTTGTTTGACTTACAACAACGTGATAGTTTAGTCATTATATCAGTGTAGCACGATAGTACCTAAATTCGGTGACTATGTTATCTGAACTATGTTCATCGTCTTTTTAGGCAACCATGATAACCCATTTCATAAACCCCAATACGTATAGCAATAATGACTAAGACGGGTTTAATGAAAATGTTAAAGACGAATCAAATGATTGTTAAATTTAAAAGGCATAAAGATATAATTCAACACATGTACATGCCTGGTTAACATGCAGGTTGGTGAGGAATGTAACAATTTAAAAATAATAAACTTGGTCAAAAGAAAGATTCTTATAGGTAAGACGACTTGTGGAACTTCAGTTATAGTATAGGCTTTTCATAAGAAGTTACTGTCATTAGTTTGTGACATTTATAAACGTGTGGCAAAAG